TGCAGTGATACCATCAAGAGCTATCAATATGTGTAGGGCTTGGCTTGGCCTTTTATAGGACATTATGGTTTTTTACTGCTCTCTGCTCTATCAGTGGAGCTATCCGGGGCAATTGTAGCGTTTGGGGCCTTTTACCCCCATGTTCCCCGGCTATACTTTTAAAACAGCTTTAGCTGTTCTTTATCTCGTGCACATGATACAAAATGTGTTCCCGTACAATATGGGGCTGACACCTCTTGCCAATCCAGCACCCTCTTCCTTTTCTAACCTGCTTTCTGAGGCTTCTGCTCTTTATCTCCTGCTCTCTGATAGAAACCTCCAGGGCAAAGCTGAAGGTTTCTTGGGGAAGCCAGGAAAGCCAGTATTTCATATGTGTCGATTTGCTTGGCTTCCGAGGAGGGATGCATGGGCTTTTTGGCCAGTGTTTCCAGGAGGCTCTGAGCTTCCTGCTTCTTCCCCGCTTCTCCCTGAGTTCACAGACTTTGAGGTTTATGAAGGTTGATGTCACTGGAAGTCTGACCACAAACAAGTTGGCTGTTACCGTATTTGAAAACCCAGTACCTCTGGCAGCTCACCTCTAACCAGTAAAATAAGAGGATTCCATGGTTTCAGCAGTTGTCCTGGTTATTTGCCTATTTAAGTGAATGATGGGTGCTTGCATTGTGACTGAGAAGATGGAATTGTGCTGGATGGATTCACAGGGATGAAAATGAATTGGCACAATCGTTTCACATTTTTTATATATTTTAAACCAAAACAACAGCACCATATGGGCACACAACACATACCTTATGTCCAGGGGAAACAATCAGCTTACTGACAGTCATTCCAGAGCTAGGGCTCCAAACTGCAGGCCGCAGATTAATGGTGGGCATGGAGGGTTACTGTACGGGGTCTGGGAAAACTGTGATCCACAGCTTTGTGGATTGTAGACTGCATAGGAAATTCTATGTTTGAAGAGTTTGAGATCCTAGGGCATTCAGAAGATCCCACTTGTATGCACCCAGAATTTTATATTCCCCAGGAATATAGCAGAGGAATATTCTGATATCATATTTATCTTTCACCATCTCAAAAATTACAGCTTTAAAAAAAGCTCAAATAAAATTCATCACTGTAACCATTTTAAAGCGTACAATTCAGTGGTTTCTAGTGCATTCACAACGTTGAGCAAATAATACCACTATCGAATTCCAGAACATTTCCATCATGCCAAAAGGAAACCCCATATCTGTTAGCAGTCACTACTGATTCTGCCCCCCACCCGACCCCTGGCATCACCTGGCAACCACTAATCTACTTTCTGTCTGTGGATTTGCTTATTCTGGAAATTTCATATAAACAAAATCATACAACAATCTGTATTCTTTTGTGATTGGCTTCTTTCACTTAACATAGTGTTTTCAAGGTTCATCCACGTTGTAGCGTGTATCAGAACTGCACTCCTTTTTATGGCTGAATAATGTATTATTATATGGGTATGCCATATTTGGCTTATCCAGTCATCAGTTGATAGATATTAGGGTTGCTTCTGCTTTTCGGCCATTATGAATAATATTGTTATGAACATTTGTGCACAAGTTTTTGTGTGAACATCTGTTTTAAATTCTCTTGGAATTGCTGGGTCATATGGCAACTCCATGTTTAACTTTCTGAGGAACTGCCGCAATCACAGCTTTTATTTCCTACAAAATCCAAAGTGAAAAATTATATATACTAGACAGTCAGAAGCATGGGCAAATCTGTTATCAGATAGCAAGATGTGGCACTTATTTGAGGGAGTTTTTAATAACAAAAATGTTGTTTCAGAGAAATGGCTTTGAGGAGGAGAGAAAATAAAGGTGCTGTCTTTCTTTTTAAAATGAAAATGAATTTAAATCAGGTTCATCTCTAAGTTTTTGTTTGCGTGGCCAGCTCTTGTATAGCCAGTGGTCTCAGAATGTTCACGCAGATTTCCTCCCCAGAAAATGTACACAGTAGAGAAAACTACAATATTTCTTAGCTATCCAGTAGAGTCACATTGGTGGGGATCAGAGGGTCTCTGCAAATCTACGATAAAACTAAGAGGGGAGCATGTCCTTAGCATTGGAATAGGTCTGCCTCCGTCTTTCCAGGGATTAAATCTTGTCAGAAAACACAAAAAGTAAGAACATCTCCAAAGGCAATTTGAGTGGATGGGAGAGAATCTCATGAAATGGAAGTGGCCAAATACGTTGCTAGGCCCTGAAGAAGCACAAGGCTTTGAGTGACCCATAAAAGCTATGAGTTTTCCCAAACACCACATGTTCTCACTCATAAGTAGGAGTTGAGCAGTGAAAACACATGGACACAGAGAGGGGAACATCACACACTGGGGCCTGTTGGGGGTTGGGAGGGAAGGGGAGGGAGAGAGAGCATTAGGACAAATACCTAATGTATGCAGGGCTTAAAATCTAGATGACAGGTTGATAAGTGCAGCAAACCACCATGGCACATATATACCTATGTAACAGACTTGTATGTTCTGCACATGTATCCCAGAACTTGAAATTAAAAAAAAAAAAAAAAGAACACTTTGAACATGGAAAAAATAGTTCATAAAAAAAAAGCTATGGGTTTTCTCCCTAGAAAAATCCATACATCACAACATCAGTTCAGTTCAGTACTTTCATAAGGTCCTCGTATCACCCCTGAAGCCTATCTGTGCCCCCCTGGGAGTCTACATGAGTACAGAGAGAATTGAAATCCACAGATTACCTGCAAACTTCATTTTAAGCTGCAGTTGCAAACCGTCTCCAACATTTCCCCACAAAAACAATATAAAAACCCCATGTGTTTTTCTATCAGATCAATTTAGCAGGAGAAGAATTGCCTGGTTTTCATTTGCGTTCTATTTGGCCACCAGTATTGTTAATTTCAGTAACAGAAATGAAGGGAATAAAAAAGAAAGTAAGAGGTAAAAGCTTGTATTCCCACACCAGAGATATCAAAAGTCTAATGCTTTCTTTTTTTGGCTAAACCTTTAAGTTGACCATACCTTCCCTGGTAAACAGAAAGAGAAGAAAAGAAAGAAATTTCAATTTTTAAGAAAGGTTTAAGGTTTTTGTTCTTTTGAAGGATTACACTTTAACAGATTTTCAATCTGTTGGATTAGCTTTTTTAGAATGTTTTGCATTGCCAAGCTATGTTTTTTGTGAAGAAGTCTCTTTTGATTTTTTAAAGTAGTTATAGTTCATCTTTTTTCAAACAATAAATCTGATCTGTTTTTTGATATTGCTTTTTGATATTGTTTTTCAAACAATAAATCTGATCTGATCTGACAACTGGTATGTTGGGGGATCTAGTGAAGCCCAGGTTTTCATGAATTACACCTCAATTCAGTTATCAGGATTAACATGTTTAAATTCCAATTGGACTGCCCACTGTTAGCTGATACCTAATAGCAAATACCTAACTTCTAAGTTCCCCGGCTTGTCTCCCCTATTTCAACAGCGCTACCCTTATCTCCCAGCCAACCAGCCCATAAAAGGTTAAGATCACTAGTTTCCTTTGGAATATTAACATTTTGTAATATTGTGTACACGTGTGCATGCCATTTATAGCACTGAACCCTATTGATCCTTATCTCTATTACATTCCCTGATCTTCATTGCATCATGTAGATAACTGATCACGGGAAATCAGGCAGTCTGAATTCTTTTTTTTTTTTTTTTCTTGAGACAGAGTCTCGCTCCGTCTCCCAGGCTGGAGTGCAGCAGTGCAATTTTGGCTCATTGCAACTTCTGCCTCCTGGGTTCAAGCGATTCTCTCTGCCTCAGCCTCCCGAGCAGCAGGGATTACAGGCACCCATCTCCACCCCCAGCTAATTTTTGTATTTTTAGTAGAGACGGGGTTTCACCATCTTGGCCAGGCTGGTCTTGAACTCCTGACCTTGTGATCCACCCGCCTTGGCCTCCCAACGTGCTGGGATTACAGGTGTGAGTTACCACACCCAGCCCAGGCAGTCTGACTTCTAGGTCTGCATTTGGGACCTCTATGCTTTCCTGCCTCTATAATTATTTTGTTTATGCAATAAAATAAAATAGAAAAAGCAGGTTAAAATGTTGGCTCTGCAGCACCAGCATGAAAGGAATTGTGTCCACATCTCTACTGGAAAACAGCTTAGCAGTTCGAATATATCACCCCAACAACCATCATCAGAAGAGAACCCTGGGACCTGGCGTAAAGTAAATGCTTGGTGTGAATCAATGGATGGCTGAGTAAATAACCCAAAGTGAATGGCAAGCAGCAGGAATGGATTTGAGAAAAATCAACAATTCAGCAGGGCCCTCAGACATGGTGTGGGCCTTCCAAGGCCTGTGCGTGCTTGCTGCAGGGAAAGAGAGTAAACTAGAAGCCTAGTTTTGAAGGGAGACAGGTTACCTCCTGGCATCAGCTTCTGTTGATTACACACCGCAAGAGCCTAGAGAAGCAGCAGGTGAGTCCAGTCTGGAGATCAGGGTTCCAGTTTCTTCTCTGCCCCTAAGAGAAGAAACCACCTCAGTTTACCTAGCTCTATAGTGAGGGTCTCGCAATTTCAAGTTCCTTCTGTGATAATCCAAGAAATAATAGGTCTAGCAAGTACTTTATGTAAACCACAAAGTGCCGGTACAAGGTTGAGGAGGCAGCACTGACCAGGTATGTTCAGGGTAAACCCTCTAGGGGAGCGTTTCATAAATTGAACGTGCATTGGGCTCTCCAGGGAATTTTGGTAAAATGCACATCCTGCTTCATGGGTCTGGAGTGGGGCCTTAGTGATGCTAACAAGCTTCCAGGTGATGCTGATGCTGCTGGTCCGCGGACCACACTCCCGAATAGAAGGGGCTAGTAGTGCCAAATCTGCCTGAGAGGAGGGAGGTCCGGGAGATGGGGAGGATGGGAACGAGGACGGGAGAAGGGAAGCTGCTAGGAAGGAGAGTCCGGTGGGGGAGGAGGGGGTTCCAGGAGGAAGAGCGAGGCTGCGGGGCTGGAGCGAGGATGCGCAGACCGAGGCAGCGAGGCGGGGGTGCGAGAGCCTCCGCGGCTGCGCGGGCGCGTGCTGGTGGCCTCAGCGGCGGCTCAGTCCCGGCCGGCGCCTGCGGCACCCCCGCTGCGGCCCGAGCGGCCTGGCTGCGGGATCGGTGCGCAGCGATGGCGCGGCCGCCCCGGCAGCACCCGGGGGTCTGGGCGCCGCTGCTCCTGCTGCTACTGACGGGGCCCGCCGGCTGCGCCGCCAGCCCAGCGGACGACGGTGCGGGGCCGGGGGGCCGGGGACCCCGGGGCCGCGCGCGGGGGGACGCGGGCGCCGACGAGGCGGTGCCGCGCCACGACTCCTCCTATGGCACCTTCGCGGGGGAGTTCTACGACCTGCGCTACCTGTCGGAGGAGGGTGAGGCTGCGGGAGGGCCAGGGGCTGCGGGAGGGGAGACCCGGGGTGGGGGACGGAGGGGCCGGGGCGGGGAGACCCGCGGCCGGGGACGGAGGGGCGGGGGGGAGGGGGTCGGAAAAGATGTCGGTGGAGGCAGCTCCGGCACAGGCGAGGCCAGGATGGAGAGCGCAGTCCCAGACCTCCGCCGGCTTGGAGGAAGGGCCCAAAGAGCTGTCAGTACCTGCCGCCCGCTTTACAGATGGGGAGACTGAGGCTGGGAGAGGGAACGGTCACCCAAGTTCTGCAAGGCTGTGGATAGGGGTAGGCGCTGAGTCTAAGCTCCCCAGTTCTCAGATCTGGCTTCCACCTTTGCCGCCTGGGGTTGCGTTGTAGGGGAGGAGGCCGCCATCTGGCCAGGGCAGTTGAAGGGAAGCAGAAAAACCCCAATCTAAAGAGAGAGGTTGCCTTATTTCCTTCCTGTCTGTATTGACCTAAATTTGCAGTGACCAGCGCCCACCTCGTAGCGTTCTGTTCCTGCTCACTGACCCATCAGAGGTGGGTCACATCAGCTTCCCCACTCCCATCCCTCTTCTTTTATGACGCCACATATGTTATGGCCTCCTAATGTGAGTCACCATTGTTGGGGCCTGCTGGACCCACAGACTGGGAGTTTGTCAGCCAAGGGCCTCGCTGTAGAGCTGCTTCAATGAGCACAAAAGCCAGGCTGATGGTGATCAGGAGGAATGGAAACTGGCCTCTTACTTTAGCAACTTTGGGAAGTAGTGACTTTCCTTTTCTTCTGCTTAAGAGGGATAGCCAACAATCCACCTGGGGGTTGAAGTGTTGAGTCCCAGGAGCCCATATCCGTTAGTGAACATATCTGTTGTTAGCATTAAGTTCAGCTGTTTATAACAAGCACACATTAATAGCTTCAACAAGATAAAAAGTTTATCTCTTACGGAAAGAAACCTGGAAATAGGTCGCCCAGAACTGGTGTGGAGGCTCCTTGGTCATCAGGGCCCCTGGATCCTGCCCTTCTGGTTCTTCACAGTTCTTAGCAATGTAACTTGTTTTTCCAACAAGTTAACTTTCTGCGCTACAGGTAAACACAAATACTTCCTCTTCTTCTTATCACTGTTACTCTTAGGGGCCTTTTTGACATTTTGAAAAATTTATTTACACCACAGAGCAGAGAATAAGCAGGAAAACACAGGTAGTAATGCACATAGATCTTGGCCCCATGTGGGGCATCATGGAGAGCCTGCTGATGGTATGCCTGACCTGCACACGTGCCATTTTATTGCTTTTTATGGGCAGGCTTGCATGGGGGAATCTGGGCATGCACAGAAAATATATATGGCAGCTGAATGGGCCTAGGAGGGCTTTTTTTGAGGGGGGACATTGGATAATAAAATAACTGCTTGAGCTCCAGCCATTATATTCACATTCAAGACAGTGGGGAAAAATAAAGCAGGAAGAATGTCACTGACTACTTTTATAAGGCAATTACTCAAAAGTTCCATATATTAATTTTTATACTTTTTTGGCCACAACTTAATCATGTGGTTGCACATAGGTACAAAGAAGGGTGGTAAGTACAGCCTATTAGCTGAGACATAATATGCCCAGTTCAAAAATCAGAATTATTGTATTAAAGAAGATGGAGAGAATAGATTTTGGGAAATGTATTCAGTAGAGGCTTAACTGCTGAAATAGAGATTTTAACATATAGTGGTTTAAATAAGATAGTATATTTTTCTCTCTAATAAAAGTCTGGTTGGTCTGGGGCTGGTAGAATGACTCTGTTCCACAAGGTCATTCAGGGACCCAGGTTCTTTCCATCTTGTTGCTCTACCATCCCCTAAGGCTTTGTCCTCATCTGTACAGTAGAAGCCAGGTTGCATGCATGTCCTTGTTCAAGATTGAACAAGAGAAGTTCAGGGCAAGTAGTTACCTTTTAGGCTGGCTGCACATACTACTGCTGTTCACATTCCTTTGGCAAAAACATAGTTACAATGACCTAGCTTTAAGGGAGGCTAAGAAATGTAGTCTTCTAGTGGGGAGCCACGTGGCCAGGAAGAAGGAGAAATGTGGGGAGGGAGGACAAGAAGCAGAAGCAGAATCTGTCAATCTGGAAAAGAATAAATATTCCAAAGTCCGTCTGTTTCTGAAAGCATGTAGTGTATCTTTACATTGTACCCAGCCTATGCTGCCAGGTGGCTTAAATGTGGCATTCGAGAGTTTATATTCTGATTGGGCTCATGCATCTAGCAAATGAAGGATAAAGTCAGATTCTGTACATCCTTTGACTCTCTGTACAGAGAGAATGATATGTTCACCATATAGTCCAGAAAGTTTTATGAACATGGATATCAGGTGGTCCACAGCCATCAAGAACAGCTTTATAGAGTCCAGCCATGAAGTAGGAAAGACTTTAGTGAGACAGAAGTAGGAAGGCATTTAGATGAGGTGACCGCACAGCAGGCAGCAGGGCTTGCTATATGTGTACCAATCGCTAGTTTGTCTGTTTCCCCCTCCCACCATAAAACCAGTTTAACCCTCCTGAAGCCTGTCTCTAACCTGTTGGCATTGTATTCAAAAGTCTGTGATGGGGCCAGGTGCAGTGGCTCACACCTGTAATTCCAGCACTTTGGGAGGCCAAGGTGGGAGGATCACGAGGTCAGGAGCTTGAGACCAGCCTAGCCAACATGGTGAAACCCCATCTCTACTAAAAATATAAAAATTAGCCAGGCATGGTGGTACATGCCTGTAATCTCAGCTACTCAGGAGGTAGAGGCAGGAGAATCACTTGAACCCAGGAGGCAGAGGTTGCGGTGAGCTGAGATCACACCATTGCACTCCAGCCTTGGCGACAGGGTGAGACTCTGTCTCAAAAAAAAAAAAAATCCGTGGTGGTTTCAACCTGCTCCCTGAATGAATCTTCAGCCGCTTTATCTGAAATTTCCTCCCTGGTTCAATTTCCTTTTACAACCATGTTTCACCTCTCCCCTTCCCTCACCCTGAGCTTTCTGAGCTCTTACTCTCCATTCTTCTCCTACCCTCTTCTCAGTTTCACTTCCTCCTTGGATACAGATTTTACCACCATCTGGTAGGTGGGATGTAAGTGGCATGGGATTATCAGAGGCAGTGCCTCTTTTAGATTACCCTGGGCCTGGGCTTCAGCCCTGTGGGTCCTGAATAGAGACTTTCCCAAGATGCTTAGAAATAAACAGTGATATTGCCTTCAAAGCAGGGATTGAGGAGGATTGCCAAGAGAGGGAAGAAGAACTAGGAGAGAGGGGTGTCCCAGAAGGCAAGGGAAAAGAGCCTGTTTCCTACCAAGGTGAGGCCTGCTAGCATGAAGACTCAAAATTACCCAAGGATTCAGGAGATGAGAGGTTATGAGTGGAATTCTCCTAGGATAGATTTAGCGGAGAAGGAAGGAGGGAGCCCGACCTACCTTGGAGGACGTGGCAAGTGAAGAGGTGCAAGTAATGCCTTTGACTTAGCCTATCAATACACTTGAGGTTGTCCATTTCTAGTGACAGGGCACTTGTTCCCTCTGTGCAGGGTACCCCCTTCTTATGTCTCAAATAGCCATGAAACTGAGTATAAAAGTCAGAAAAGGCCGGACGCAGTGGCTCACGCCTGTAATCCCAGCACTTTAGGAGGTTAAGGTGAGCGGATCACCTGAGGTCAGGAGCTCGAGACCAGCCTGACCAACATGGCGAAACCCCATCTCTAATAAAAATACAAAAATTAGCTGGGCGTGGTGGTGGGCGCCTGTAACCCTAACTACTGGGGAGGCTGAGGCAGGAGAATTTCTTGAACCTGGAAGGCGGAGGTTGCAGTGAGTCAAATCGCACCATTGTACTACAGCCTGGGCAACAGAGTGAGACTCTATCTCAAAAAAAAAAAAATTCAGAAAAAAAATTTGAATAATGAGGTGGGAATGGAGATTCCGCTGAAATTATGAGAGAGCCTACTCACCATTACCTACCCTACCCAGAGACTGTTTCCCCATAGTATCCAAATTGCCTAAGACCCCCAAATCCAGAAGTGGGACGCTGGCTGATTTGCTATCTATAAAAAATGATTACCCCCAACATGGTCATTTTTTAAAATTTAAGTTAAGTTTTGGTTTAACTATGCTAGTTTTCAGAATTCTTTGAGGGTCTCACTATCTAAGCCTATACTACTCATCCTTACAGTCTCAGCTTAAATGCCACCTCTTTCAGGAAGCCTTCCTGATTTTCTCCTTCTCCCACTAGGCAAAGATGTTCTTCCACAGCACACAGTCTAACCCTGCCATGACCCTCTTTGCTCTCTACGGTCAGGAGTTCAGGTAGGGTCTTAGTGCTTGAATGCTACCACTCATACTTCTCGAGGTTCTTAACCCAGAATCTATATATTCAGAGCAGTGATAGAATTTGAAACAGATAGGCTGATGTGGTGGCTCATACCTGTAATCCCAGTACTTTGGGAGGTCGAGGCAGGCGAATCATCACGTCAAGAGTTCGAGACCGTCCTGGCCAACATGGTGAAAAAAAAATTTGTGAAACAGATTACCATTTGATTATGGGCAAATGCTCATTTCCGAGGGTTCTTTGGGGAAAAACAAACAAAACTGAGTTGGATGTTGGCTACAGGTTAAGTCCCAAATGAAGCTTTCTTCTCCCTGCTGCGAAGATGGCCAGGTTTGAGAAGCAGACGGAGTCTTAACCTAGCTAACTGATGTTAACTGCCTTACCCTTGGAGCCATACCCCACCTAGGAAGGAAAAGACAGAACACCATTCACGGTCACTTAGCTTTGAGGCATAGTTATCTGACCACTTGTAAAATGTGCCTCAATCAAGAATTTTCTGACCATTGAGTTCTGATCACAGTTTTTCTTGGGAAAGAGCTAGAGAGGTAGAGAGAAGGACAGAACATGGGGCAAAGGCCAGAAGTTTCATCAACCCCCTATATCCTTCCTCCATCTACCATGGACAGTATGTGGACATGTAACTTACCACTCTAC